CCAGTTAAAGGTCGGGATTGTTCTTGTGTAGTTACAATGAATTATACTGAAACAATTAAAGCCTAAAGAATCCTAATCTGAAAAATTGTAAAGAAGATTTTTAATTAAGATAATAAATGGATCCCTTATTAAAAGGACACGTCCTGATTAGATACCCAGTTTTACTGTCAGGTTAACATTCTTCTATTGGCTTTTAAGTGACTGTTACACAAGTTCATTACATATCAGTTTAACTATTTGCAATTGTTGCTCGTTTATTCAAGGAACATTGGAAATGCAATTTGTTTAGCAACATTGGAAATGCAGGTTTAGATTTTTTTTCAAACTAGCACTGAATTTTAATAAAGAATCAATCTGTCAGAATTTTAAAATTGTATACTATACATAGACTTAAACGGAACATTATAGCATGGAATCAAGCCATTTGCCCAAGTAGTCCGTGCTAGTGTTTATAATCCACATGAACTTCCATCCCCTTAATCTTTTCACTTATATCCCTCTATTCTCTTCTCCTTTGTGTATACTGAAAACTCTTGACAGACAGTAAACCACAAGCTTTAATATCAAGCGATTATAAATATCTTCTGAACTTGGACTTCGAGCTCAGTAAAATCCTGTGAAGTGCTTTGAAACGTCTTGATGACATAAGTCCTCTATCAAATGCAAGGATTATTATTATTATATAGTCTACATTTTCCTGGGTTACGTTGGGGGCACTTTTCACAAGTATTTTACTCAACTAGTCATTCTTCTTTTGTAAGCCAGGACAACAGGCAATCTTAAAGTCCAAAATATTAAAGATTCCATAACACTATTCAAAAAGAGAAGTGAGTTTCTCACTGTGTCCTGGCCAACAACCCTCTAAGTAAATTGATCATTCAATTCAAGGTTGTTTCTGGGTCCTTGCTTTGCGCAAGATGGTTGCTGTATTTATCTGCAAATACATAGTAAATGAACTTGGCAATAATCACCTGTCTGAAGGACTTCAACACGTTTCAGTGATATAAGCACCATATAAAATGCAAGGATTATTATGCAAGAATCTGACATGCAGAAAAAACCCTCAAAAGATCTATAACAATAGGGCTTGAAAATCATTGCAATCCCATCCCATCAATCCCGGTAGGAATGTAAACCCTTGAGGACAAAACAGAGAGAGGTCTGACCAGGGTGAAGCAATGTCTAATATAATGGCCTGGGACAGTGAAAATAGGGAGCAAGCTGATTTCTAAAAACTGTTGTTCCATAAAAGATATGTTTTTTTTACAATGTGACTGTCTTAAAAAAAGGAAGAATTTTATTTTGGTTTGCTGTTTGTTCAGGTGTAATTTTCCACTTTAAGAAATCATAAGAGAGGTTTGGATGAAGAAGGCCTCCTACCCATTTGATCTCTCTTCCAAAATACCCACCCAACTGTACTCCCATTACACCATCAAGCTGTTTCTTCAACGAGCCCAGTGTCCTGGCCTCAACAATCCTTCCTGGTAACCTGCTGCAGTCTTTAATTACTTTCTGTGGAAATAAATACTTCCTGGTGTCCAATTGATGTTTGTAACCTGAAGCCCGTACCTTCGTGCTCTGCTAACTTGGTGTATCTTCAAAGACAGTGCAGGCCCATTACACTCCATCTCCTTATAATGTTAGTTTGCTTATAAGTCGGGTGCCCTGTGGATATGTGTCCATTTTCCTGTGCTACATATGCACTAGTGCATCATGTCAAAGCACAACCTGACCTGCATCACGGCAAAGCACAATCTAACTTCTAGCGCCAGCAAATTAGGTTGTGAATTGACTCAATGTTCAACCAACCCAACTGCAGCTTCCTTCACACATGTGCAGCAAACAGAAACCGATATGACCATCGACCTGATAACACAAATGTCAGTCATTGTTGGCACAGAAAGCCAGCCAGTTTTCTTCACGCATGCACAGTATTAATATAAGTCAAGTAACATTGCAATCTGGAAGTCTAAAACAGCGATCACACCTTGTGTGGGATTTTTATGAGTCATCCCCTACCATCACATAGGGCTGCACTGTATTGTTGTGGGTTTACTTTCTCAATCCCATTTTAAATCTTATGTACCTTAACAAGGTCTACTCTGAGATATGCATTTTCAAGACTGAAGAGCTTGTCTAAGCGCTCTGAGACACTACACTACTATATATGTGCAAGTTGTTGTTGTCGTCCAATCTTTGCGTGTTGCCCATTCCTCTAACACCAGACCACATCCTCATCGCTCTCTTTTGCACCAACTCTAAGCCTTGGGCAGCTCACTTATGTTGCAGCGACCGGAACTATACACATGATTCAGAGACATGCACCCGACTGTCTTCCTCTCACATTCACCAGGAAGCTGAGACACATAGAAAGCAAGTCGATGCATGATTCAGCCACGTTGTTCCTGCTGTGCGCAACTATATGAATCACCAAGATGCATAATGAACTCAGAAGGTCTTTAATCATAAGTCTTTCCTCCTAAACAAACTGAATGATTATCCTCATTATTTTGAAATCAGTGAACATATCTATGTCTAATTTTATTACTATATTTTCTGTTCGGCCACTTTTAAGACACATATTTATAGAAACTGGATAGTCCAAAAATATTCAAGAGTGATCAGTGAGCACTCATAGGCAGTATTCCTCCAGTCACTGCAAAGCAATGTGTATCCTGGAGTCTCTTATGTGGCTTGCAGTTTTCAGAACCAAATACTGTAGCAACTTGGCAACAACTGTGATCACATGTCAAGATGTAGCTAAGGGCATTTGCTCTGCAAGCCTTGCTCAGCAGGTTCCTGCCTGCTCCATGTCCCCGCCCAGCCTGCCCCATCATCGGCAGACAGGCCTTCAGCCTCTCTGTCCCCACCCTTCGGAACTCCTTCTGCCTGGCTCCCTCCCTCGCCTCCTTCAGGGCCCATCTCAAGACCCTTAACTTCGACTGCATCTTTGGTCACCCTCCTAACCCAACCCTCCCTGCCCTCCACCCCTCCTGATCCTAACCCCCAGCTCGTGTCCAAATCCCTGACTGTCTAGCACCTTGGGACATCTTTCCGAAGTGAAAGGCGCTGTGTAAATGTAATTTGTTGTTGTTAAGTGCCTTATCACGTCTTTGAGACATCTCAAAGCTCTTCACAGAATATACTGTAAAGTGAATTGACTGTATATTTTGTGGGCGAAAATTGGCAGCCAATTGCACAAAGCAGTGTTTCACAAACAGTTGTGGATTGAGTGAACAAATTTTTTTTAAGGGATTATTACCCCCAGAAAAGCAATCTGCCAACTGACTAACAACCAGGTTCCTACTTACTGCTTGGTAAACAGGTGTGTGGAGTTAGGAAACTTGCCCAATGTTTCACCCTGCTGGAAATCAAACCCAGGGCCTCTCAACAACTTGCATTTATACAGTGACCTTTACGTGGGGTAGTGTCTCAGAATGCTTCACGCTGAGCTGGGGAGAGAGGGGTGGTGACCATAGGCATGATTGAATGGGAAGGTCTTCAAGGTATGATCTGAAGATAGACACGGCAGGGGCATTAATGCAGGTCATTCCGGTGGTTCATAGTGGTTGAAAACATAGCCACTGATGGAGGAATGGAGGAGGGGAGAGGGCGAGCGATGTGCAGAAGGCCTGAGCCGGGTGGGTAGAGGAGCGAGTGGGATGTAAACAGATTGGAGAAGTAGGGAGGTGCCATAGAATGAAGCGATTTGTAGGCGTACGTGAGGATCTGGAAATTGATCCATTCTGCAATAGGCAGTAATAGGGAATCAGTGCAGCCTGGTAAGGACTGGGGTGATGGGGGTGAGGAGTTTGGCACTGGTGCGCTTTGTGTAGCTACTTGGGTAATCTTTGGCGACTGTTAGCAATCTGGTGTACATGCTCACCCAAGAATCAAGGAGCGGGCGTTAAAAACAATCAAAACAAACGAGAAAATGCCTGTGGGGCTAGTCCAGACTTCTTCAGATCTCAGATTACATCCAAGGTGAATATCATTCACTTGCAGATCGCAATGCCCTATCCGATATGATGTAATGTGTACGTGGAGCGAGTGGCCCACAGATTTTTTTATCCACACAAAAAAAAAGAAAAAAGAAAATCAGCTCAAGGTCTCAAGTTACAGGGAGAGGGAACAGCCGGGACAGGCACACATTTCTGTTCCAAAGATATCACCACCCAAGCCACAGCTTTTTTTCACACACGCAAACGGGGTCAGCAGATCACCAGCAAATCCTCAGTTCTGCAAACGACAATGTTCCTTGAAGCGGGGAAGTGAAAGTGTTAAAAGTTAAGATGTTACAGGGTTGATGTCATTCTTTGCAATGCCTTTCCCCTTCAAGAAACCACAACTCATCTCAGGGCTCAATTACTTGGGTGGGGGGCAGTTTGAGTTACTGTACAAAAGTTCTCCTGAGTTCAGTGCCTTGGGTTTCTGAGTTGGAAAGGAAAGTAATGTTAGAGCAAAACTTTCTGCTGGAGGGAAGGGAGGGAGTGAGGAAGAGAAGGAGGGAGGGAGGGAGGAAGAGAAGGGAGAGAGGGAGGAAGAGAAGGAGGGAGGGAGGAAGAGAAGGAGGGAGGGAGGGAGGAAGAGAAGGGAAGGGAGGGAGGGAGGAAGAGGAGGAGGGAGGGAGGGAGGAAGAGAAGGAGGGAGGGAGGAAGAGAAGGAGGGAGGAAGAGAAGGGAAGGGAGAGAGGGAGGAAGAGGAGGAGGGAGGGAGGGAGGAAGAGAAGGAGGGAGGGAGGGAGGGAGGGAGGAAGAGAAGGAGGGAGGGAGGGAGGAAGAGAAGGGAGAGAGGGAGGAGAGGGAGGGAGGGAGGAAGAGAAGGGAAGGGAAGGGAGGGAGGAAGAGAAGGAGGGAGGGAGGGAGGGAGGAAGAGAAGGAGGGAGGAAGAGAAGGAGGAAGAGAAGGGAGGGAGAGAGGGAGGGAGGAAGAGGAGGAAGAGAGAGAGGGAGGGAGAGGAGAGGGAAGTAAGTCTGTAAATCCTGCCACAGGAATGTGTACCTTTGTTCCCTGATAAAAGTCATCCACGGCTTCCACCCCCATGAAGGGCAACTGCATGTGAGTGTGGGTGTCGATGCCCCCGGGCAGCAGGAGTTTGTCTGTGGCATCGATCACCCTCACCCCCCCGGGGATGGGCAGACTCAGCCCCACGGCTCGGATCAGCCCGTCTTCGATGTAGACATCAGCCAACACCGAGCGGTCGTCGTTCACCACCCGACCGCCCCGGACCAGGAGCCGATTGCGGTCGCACATCGCGGGGGTGTGGTGTGGTGTGTGTGGAGGGGCGGGTGAGGGGGTGAGGGGGTGAGGGGGTGAGGGGGAGATCAGCGCCGCTCGGCTGCGAGAGGCCACGAACCCTCTGTGCAGCGTCTGACTGCTCCTCATGTGGGAACAGCCCTCTGATATGCGGGATTGCTCCGCCCTCCGCACTGGGGTTGTGTGTGTGTGTGTGTGTGTGTGGGGGGGGGGGGGGGGGTGGGGATGGTGTGTTTCGTTTGTTAATTCATAAATGTTTCCAATGCTTCTCCTTTCGAAACAGGGTCTGGGAATCTTCCAGTCGTCTTATTGTACCGGTGGAGTCCGTGTCACCGTTCTTGGCGCTTGACCCACCGGCCGGCGCACCTCGCAGTGCCGTGCGGGGGCTTTGCCGTAATGTGTGCCGACCGCCTATTTTGTCGGCAAACAGAGCGGCCGAATTGTGAACGATTTCCCACAAACCGCCTCGAAGCGAATGAGAGATTTTATCTGGAAGATTGTTGCCCGGGACGACGGGAAAAACGCCCTCTTTGTTTTTTGAATAGAGCCACCGAATGTTTAATGAGACCTCCGACAATATACAGTGTTTCCTCCTCACTGTATCGCGGTATCAGCCGAGACCAGAATTTCTCAACTGCAGCCACCGTGACCACACGCTGCTATCTGTGTGAATTTGTGCGGCTACAGCAGCCCCCGGGCCCGGGAGTGGGGTGGGGAGGGAAGATTGCGTGTGATTGCGTGGAACACAGAGCAATGCAATGCACAAATGTTTTGTGGTTCGTGTTATGTTCTCAACAAACCATGTGTTGTTTTAGGTTCCCAGTTACAAAATCCAACGGTCACACCAAGAACCCTCTATTCAGCTCTCCCTGCTTCCTGCTTTCTCTCCCTCCTGATCTCCTTCCATCGGTCCTAGTGAATTGGTCCTTTACTTATTTATTAATTAGTGTCCAACATCTTCCCCTTTTTGGGATTCTTCTTATTTTTTTTCTTTGTGTCTCAGTCTTGTTCAGTTAATCTCCTTGTCCGTTTTACTACTCTTCCTGATTTGGTGGTTCTCAATGTTTCTGGCATACTTAGATCTTCCTTCTGCTCTTCCTTCCTCTGTCCTTCTTTGGCGTATTTCCCATGATGTCCTTCAATTTATTTTTCCTTTATCACTTTTAAACCAATATGATCTTGGGTTTTATCCTCCTTCCAAATTTCTCCTTTTGTCCAACCTTCCATTTTCAGGTTTTTCTTCCTGAACCATATTCTCTCTCCTCTTGAAAAAATGTTTTCTCCTTTCCTGGTTCATTTTGTGGTTTCCCTCCATTTCTCTTGTGGTGTACCTGGGATCTCATTTTTTTCTCCTCCTATCTATTATTTGCTTCTCTAATCTATCCTCTCTTGTTGCCTTTGCTATTTCCCTTACCTGGAATTCAATTTCTTTTTCCAGTTGCTCATCCTCTTCGCATTTTGAGTAGTGGCTCGACTTAGTGTGTCTGTCGCATATAGTGATTTCCCAAGTTTGTACTGAAATTCAGCGTTATATCTCTGTAGCCGTATTCTCATTCTTTGTAGCCTTGGCGGTATTTCATGGAGCGCTTTTCTCAGAATGGCCTCTAATAGTTTGTGATAATTTTTTAATAATCACTTTTTTTCCCCAATATACATATTGCTTGAATCTTACCCATCCAAACACCACAACAAAACACTCTCTATCTGGGCATATCTTTTCTCTGTTTCCAAGAGCCCTGGATGCATATGCTATGATTTTTCTCCCTTGCATTAATACTGCTCCTATTCCTGCCTGACTCACATCCATAGATATTGTCACTAGTGCACTTATAACATTTTAATACTGGAGATTTTGATATGGCCTCTTTTATTAAATGCTCACTGCTGTTCCTTTTCCCATATGAATTCTCTGTTTTCTTTGACAAGCTCTCTTATAAGCTCCATGAATTCAGTAACTTTGGGAATTAATCTCGCCACCCAATTCACCATTCCCATCAGTCTTTTTACTGCTTTCTTATCTGTAGGTGCAGGCATTTTTAATAATAATCCTTGCATTTGATATAGTGCTTTTCACGTCTTCTCGACGTCGCAAAGCACTTCACAAAATAGACTGTAAAGTGAATTTGTGGGCGAAACACGGCAGCCAATTTTTTCTACAATTACCACGGCACTTACCCAATCGGTGGGATTCTCTACTTTTTTTTATTATCTGGTCCTTTTCTATTTTATTTAACGTTTCTTTTTCAGTGCTTCTGGCACTCTCCTAAGCGTCAATATCACTGGCTTTACTGTTTCTTTTAATCTGATTGTGTATTCCCCTTTCATCGGTCCCCTTTTTCCAAAAAGTTATTGATATTTCTTCCGTATTTCTTCCATTTCCATTTGTTTGTAGTCTTCTGTCGCTAAACTCCGAATTCTTTTTAGTAATCCCATTTCAATGATATCTTGCAGTCTGAGTAGAGTATCGGCTTTTAATTTTACAATGTGAAACTTTATCTTACAAGTGCACCACTTCTATAGCTACACTGCCCTCTATCTCTCCTTTATTATAGGCCAATAGTCTGCTTTTACCCTTTTCCAATTTCTCTTTATTGGGTTTTTCCAGCTGCATATACTCTACTAATGACATTCCACTGACCTGAGTTCTTGTATCCAATTTGCACCTTAACCATTTCCTCTTCTGTGCACCATAGAGATATTATCCACTCCTTTTTCTCTTTTTCTGTAAGAACTCTCTTAATGATTTTTGTTGCATCAATATTATACTCTTCTTGTTCAGTCACTCCGGATTCTGTATCTGAATTGTCTCTTATTTCATGTTGCCTTGATCTTATTTGCTCTTCCAGTTCTTCGTGGCTTATTTGGCCTTCGGTAATCATTTCGTCCTGTACGCCTTTCCTCCCGGGTTCCTCTGCCACAGCTACTTACAGGTTCTCTTTGTCCATTTCTCCATTGTCTTGTGTAATGCCCATTCCGAAGACACACATAACACTCTCTTCCTTCCCCTGAACATCTCTGAAAAGGATGCACTAATCCACACTTTCCATGTTTCCTTTAGATTTGTTTACCCTTTAGGCCTGAATATCCTCCGTACCTCCATATTCCTCATCTGAATCATCCCAGCTTCTTCATTGAGCTAATTCATCAATTTCCATCATCTTTTCTGCATTTCTATTAAGTCCCTCATGTGTTCTTTGGACATTATTTCTATACCCACGATTTGCAGAGCTTTTTGGAGCATTAAAGAGCTTCTTTCAAGAGCTTACTGCATATTTTATTATCTTTCAATCCTATCACAATTTGGTATCTGATGATCTCTTCTCTTAAAACTCCATAATTAAATGTTTTACTTAATGATCATAATTAAGTAAAACATGTACAGTATTGATGAAATGATTCTGTAGGCCCTTGCTTCCTTGTTCCAAATTTATATCTATCTGCTGTGACATTGTTCTATCCACAGCATCTTTCCCCGCATGACCTTTATCATCTCATCTAATGGCATGTCCATATCTTTCTCCATATTTGCAAAGTAATCCCTTGCTTCTTCCCCTGCCACATTTAGGAAAATAACCGACTGCTGTATTTGTGGCAATTCCTTCACATTTGAGGCTAGCACAAGTATCTCAAAATCACGTTCAAATCTTTGCCAATTATGTCTTAAGTTACCTTCTAGCCTCAATGGTCACGGTATTTGCAAATATCTTGTCCCTGCATCCGACTGCTGCTCCAACACTCATTTTGTCCTTTGTTCTCTTCCCTGTTTAATCTTATAGTCTTTTCAAAATCCGTTCAGTTTTACTTCTGACAACATGTTATGTTCTCAACAATGTGTAGAACATACTTTTATTTTAGGTATCCAGTTACAAAATCCAAGAGTCACACCACACACCCTCTACTCAGTTCTTCCTGCTTTTTCTTCCTCTTGATCTCCTTCCATTGATCCTAGTCAATTGGTCCTTATTTATTAATTAGTATCCAACAGTTCAATCGCATGTTGGACTCGCAGCTGAGGAGGGGGCAGCTGGACTACAGCTCACAGAACCACAAGACAGACAGTTGGGCAGGCATGTGTTCTCTCCCTCTCTCACTGTCTCTACCCGGCTTTGGCTGGCTTGAGAAGGGGGGGGAAGGTCACACGAAAAGTCACAGTGTGGCTACTAGTAAGTGTTGATGGCCGCACACTGAGGCTACAAAAAGGATGGCACTATTTCAAAAAGACAAGAATTTCTCCCAGTGTCTGGCCAACAATCCTCCAAATTAATAGTCATTGACCTACTGGATGCTGGGTGTTTGCGATAACTTGTGAACCATTCCAAGACATCTCAGAGTGATATAAAATACATGTTCTATTTCTTTTTGAGTCTAGACTTTCTGACAGTTGTGCTGTGCAGGATCCACCCATTTCAAGCAGCAGAGTGAGCAACACCCATGATATTTAAATCTGGTCTGTATTCAGCTGCTGCACAGTGTTCACACAACCCCAGGTGTCAACAGATCACAAGTTAGTAGTTATAATAATAAATGCACTTGAAATAGCATCTTATCATGTTATTGAAATATCTGGAAATGTTTCACAAGATTTTAGTGTAAAGTGAGTGTAGTGACTGTATTTGCAGGCGAATGCAGCAGGCGATTTGTGCACAGCAATATCCCACAAACAGCTGTGAAGTGAAGGACCAAATTGACACTGTTGTACAATTGGTGAAATGTTATAAACAATACAACCATTCAGAGTGTGGCCATAGGCGTAAGTACGAAATTCCTTCACAGCAATGCTGTTCAGTGACACTGCATTTCTCCTGTCACACTGAGCACATTCCGCCATATCTCCTCCTCCACAGCAAGGCATGTATTTGCACCATTAAAATGTCTAGGTGTTTGTCCTTATTAGCAAGATTTTGCAACTCAGAATAAAGAAATTACACTTTCGGTGCCATATACTGAGATCTAATTTCTGGAATGGGTTAACAACCCATATGCATAATTTGCAATTTAGACAAACCATATGAAAAAACATACAGATGTCCTTGATTATTAAATAAACAACCAATGTAAAGGATTCCAGAATCACCTGCAGCCCTTTTCAGTGGCTATTTATACAATACAATACACA